AAAAAAAAAAAAAAAACAAAAAAACAAAAACAAAAAAATCTACACGAAATGGATAATAATCCATACAGATCCTACCCAAATATGCCGAACTCATCGGAAGATGACAGTCCGTCTTCCGTAAATTCATGATACACCCGAAATATGCAATTTTCTCAAATTCCTAGAATACAACTACAACCCCAGTTTCAAAATTTTCCTTTCCAAGTACCTGCACCAATGCCTTCTTATCCAAATTCACAAACTTCAGAACAACCTTCTTTTCCCCCATCACCAAATTTAATGATCATGAATCAATCTCAGTATATGTGGTCAATGTCGCCTCAGTATGGCATTCCGAATTCATTTGGGATGCCTTATCAACAAGGAAATTTTAGGTGAAAAAAAAAAAACAAAAGTGAATGTTTGGGGCGTGTAGAAGCAAAATGATTGCTTGAAGTGTGAATGGCCTTTACATGCAGGTGTACACGCGCGTGAATCACTAAATTGTGGGTCTGCCCACTTTACACTCCTTTTTCTTTTCTTTTTTTTCTTTTCTTTTTTGCCATTTTAACTTTATTTTGCAATTAAAATTAAAATTAAAACTAACAATCCTTTTTATTTATTATATGATTAATATTTGTCAATACAAATATTGTGTTTATCAATAATTATATTTATTTTATTTTTCACTAATTATATTGATAATTATATTTGTCTATATTATATTGTCAATAATTGTATTTATCTTTTATTTATTAATTAAATATAAAATATAATTGTTATTCTAATTTATTTTATATTTTTTTTATATTGTTAAAGTTGTGATATTAAAAAAATAAAAAGCAAAGTGCATATATCTGACATTTTTGCTTTGCATAATTGAGCCATCAACTTTTTTTGTGCAATACCATCCACACATTGTGGTGTATGTATTATTGCGTATGTATGGACTACAGCTTGCACTGAAAGTCCGTCTATAAATTCAGTTGTATGCATTGTAGCTTCATCACAAAAAAAATAAAAAATAAAAAATAAAAAATAAAATCTACACGAAATGGATAATAATCCGTACAGATCCTACCCAAATATGTCGAACTCATCGGAAGATAACAGTCCGTCTTCCGTAAATTCATGATACACCCGAAATATGCAATTTTCTCAATTTCCTAGAATGCAACTACAACCCCAGTTTCAAAATTTTTCTTTCCAAGTACCTGCACCAATGCCTTCTTATCCAAATTCACAAACTTCAGAACAACCTTCTTTTCCCCCATCACCAAATTTAATGATCATGAATCAATCTCAGTATATGTGGTCAATGCCACCTCAGTATGGCATTCCGAATGCATTTGGGATGCCTTATCAACAAGGAAATTTTATGCCCACTGGATTCTCTAGTAGCTCCATTGAAGTCCCAAGGCCTTCCATGATCCCGGAGGTTGAAGGACTCGACAACATTTGCCTCGATACGGATTCAGACAAAGCCAAAGAAGTTAAGCCTAAAAGACGGGGTAAAGCGACAGCAATACCGTGGACACATGATGAGGACGTTTTACTATGTCGAGCTTTCTGTACCATCTCAAGTGATCCGGTCATTGGCGCTCAACAAACGTCCGAAGGCTTTTGGAGGCGAATTATACAGTATTATAATGAAGCCGGTGAAGCACGAAAACTCATTCAGAGAACCATAGAGTCAGCAAAATCTCATTTTTATGCTTTCCATGGAGACTGTCTCAAATTTAATGCGTCGATAAACAGGTTTCGGGCTGATCAAAGAAGTGGTGAAAATGATACAATTGTTTTGTAGAATGCACTAATGGAGTGGAACAGCGAGGGGAAAAAGAAAGGGGGCTTTAAATGGCTTCATTGCTGGGAGGTATTGAAAAATAATGCCAAATTTGATGGGGCATCTCAGACATCCCGAGGAAGAAAGAAAGCTAGAATATATGATACTGGAGATCACACTTCTGGCTCTGGGCAAGATGTCGAGCCTAGTGGTGATGGTGAGGACAGATATGTACGTCGACCAATTGGCCAAAAAGCAGCAAAGGCTGGGAAGAGAAAGGGAAAAACAACTGCAGGAGGAAGCACCGGTCCAGATGTTGAACGTCTATTGGCAGAGATTGGTCAGGTTAAAGAAATTCATCTGAAGAAACAAAAAGATTTGGAAAAGCTAGTTCGTATAGAATCATGGAAGACGTACAGAGAAATGATAAAGGAGGATACTTCAACCATGACAGAAGAAAAATTGCAAGCCCACCAAGGACTTCTGGTTGTGCTTAAAGAAGAGCTGGGTCTTAACTGATTGTTGTGCTTAAAGAAGAGCTGGGTCTTAGCTGATTTGTTATGTTGTTTGGTGTTTTTATCATTCTATAATTTAAATGTTATGCATTGTTTATCTAAGTTATTATGTATTGTGTTTAATTTTATGAGTGTAAGCAATGTTTGTTGGTGTTTGGTCTATTTTGTAAAAAAAAAAAAAACAAACTCGTTGTATTCACTTATTTTTTTAACAACACGTCTAACTCGTTGTTATTCCATAAAATTAAATTCAATTTAGTTTCAGAGACTAAAATAATGTCAGCTTTATTTCACCAAGAATAACATACATATTACTATGCGGTACAATGCTTATCTTATCGATTCAACAACCACATTTAATTCATTACCCACTATATACTTTTCACCTAATACATTAATACCTAACACACCAACCACTACAATATAACACATATCACTTATTACCTAACACACCACACTTGTCACCTACTACACCACACATGCCACCTACCACCACACATGCCACCTACTGCCACCCACTACCACACATGTCACCTAACACAATCACCTACTACCACACATCCCACCTAACACAATCACTTTTTTCTATAAATAGTATAGTATCCTATGCTCCAAAACTACATCCAAAAACATCTTTCAATTCCTTATTCTTTCTTCTTATTTTTTAAAATGGCTGACCGTAATAATAATAGAGTCTCATATCGTGCTTTTTTGAACGATATGCTTGACGATTCTTTGGAGCAAGCTGAATTTGCCTTGATGGAGGCCACGGCTATGCAATTGCAGCAAGACGGACAAGAGGAAAATTCAACTAGGCGTGAAAGAGAAACTTAGAAAATTCTTCTGTCAAACCCTCATCGATGAATCTACAAAATCCTTCAAAGCTTGGGAGCTTACGGTTTCATGTTCTATTTCACTCCCTGACGGGGGTTCTTTTCACCCTTCCCTCACGGTACTACTTCGCTATCGGTGAAGCTGGTCATTCCCTACTGATAAGAGATTATTTTGCTCCCGATCCCATATACCACGAAGGCTACTTTCGTCGTAGATTCCGTATGTCCAAACGATTGTTTGTTCAGATCGTTCAGGATGCTGAAGGACATTCTAATTATTTTACATGTAGAGCAGATGCAGCACGACGACCAGGTTTTACACCAATTCAGAAGTGTACTGCGGCTATACGTCAACTAGCATACGGAGCTCCTGCCAATCAATGTGACGAATACCTTCGTATGTCAGAGCAGACGGCGAATCGAAGTCTGCTCGAGTTTTTCCATGTTGTGCGAGAAATATATGCACCCCAATATTTGCGCCCCCCAAATGCCAATGACATCCAAATAATACTGGCACTGCACGAGAAGAAACATGGTTTTCCTGGCATGTTGGGAAGTCTAGATTGTATGCATTGGGAGTGGAAAAATTGTCCAGTTGGATGGTAAGGCTCGTACACTCGAGGGGATCATGGGGTACCCACGATTATGCTTGAAGCAGTTGCATCACAAAACCTATGGATTTGGCACGCATTTTTTGGGCTCGCGTGTTCACGAAATGATATAAATGTACTGCACGAATCTCTATTATTCAATGATGTTTTACATGGTGTAGCTCCAGAGGTCAATTTTGTAGTTAACGGGACTCAGTATACCAAAGGGTACTACTTAACAGACGGTATCTATCCAGAGTGGGTACATTTGTCAAAAGCTTTCAATGTCCAGAGGACCCAAAAAGGAAAAAATTCAAGCAGAGGCAAGAGGCTGCAAGAAAAGACGTTGAGCGTGCTTTTGGGGTCCTCCAGTCCAGGTGGGCAATTATACGAGGTCCTTCTCGTTTTTGGTATAAAGAAGATCTTAGTGAAATTATGTTATCGTGTATCATTTTGCATAACATGATAATTGAGGACGAAGGCGAAGAAGCTACCAACTGGTCTAATGATGACTGGGAACCACCAGCGCTGGCGCGTGAAGGGGGGTCTTTAATTTTTCGACCCTACTTACAGATAAGAGCTGAGGTGCAAGACAGACAAATTCATCATTTGCTTCGACACGACTTGGTTGAACATATTTGGAATGAACCTATTGCTCAAGATTAATTTTTTTTTTTAAAAAAATAAAAATTGTACTCCAAATTTAATTTTCAACATTATGTAAGTTCTATGTTTCGTATTTTTTAAGTAAAATTTTACATTCGTATGCACTTAACACTACATAATTATAAGTAATAAAATATAATTATGTATATATATATATATAGAGATTGGATCACATGAGAATGGTAGATAGGGAAAGAAATAAGAATAAATGTGGGCCTTTAGATATATGTAATTAACGGTTGAGATGCAGGTCAGATATTTTTATTTAAGTTTCCAGGTGCGGTGGCATTACAGTAATTAAAAGAAAGTACGTGGTCTTATATGAAGTGCTGAGGGCAAGTTTGTATTTTTACCTTAGTTGCGTGTGCTCAGGGGCGTTCATTCTGATGCCGGTTTTCCCAAGAGAGTAATCGAGTGTTAATGTCAGAAATTATGAGGGAGGCGACTTAATCGATATCAGGGCATCTTTATTAGGCGATTTTCGATTAATCGATGAGAACGAAAAACCTTGATCAGTAATCAATGGAGCTGTGATTTTTTTTTTTTCGAGCGTCGTTTACAATTGT